GTCTGTCTGTCTGTCTGTCTGTCTGTCTGTCTGTCTGTCTGTCTGTCTGTCTGTCATATTCCTCACCAACAAGGAGAATGAGTTTGTTTTGTAAGTTATTTACGGCGCTTGCAGCTGCATAAGGTCGTATGAGCGCGCGGGACACATTAAGCATTCTATAGTTTGATAGGAAATGTTGCATTTTGCCAGGAATGTGCCCGGAGCCTACTCTTGTATGTTTTTGGACCACCAAGGGATCTTTAACCTGCACAACGGCAGCGTACACACGGAACCTCTGAGATTGTTCGCCCTTGTCCGAGAAAACTAGGTGTTAGATCTTACCTGCCCTAAGATCAGCAGTAAGAAGAAGCCAAGAAATAGAAGTAGAAAGGTTGCAGAAAGAGTCAGGAGCCCAGAGAAAGGAGTAACAAAAAAGGGGGGGGGGGGGGGAGGGAGGGGTTGAAAGTGGAAACGAAAGCAGAAGGCAAAACATTATAAGAGATCAGGAAAGGGGGCAATTTTAGAGGAAAAAACAACAACAAACATTCCGTCGCTGTCAGGTTACGAACCTGGGACCTATTGAAGGAGGGGCGAACACGCTAACCTCTAGACCACGAGAGCACCATGATGACGTTACAGTGTCGATGTGTTTCTTCCTTCTCAAACAATTAACCCCTGAATACTGAATGTCTCGGAAATGACGGGTCAATACAACACGCCTCCTAAATTACTTAATTTGGGTCGATGGGGACGTAAAAAAGCACTTGAAACCAACCCAAGGAGTAAGGAAGCAATAGATGAAAATCTGCTTTCAAATTCAAAAGATTGCCGTGGAAAAATAGCAAGTACGTGCTTATATAGCCTCATATTCTGGAGACTTGGGGCCATAAAAACACTCCTCGAGATTAACACGTTTGTGCATGACATCGTGGTGAAATCAGGCGCTCGTCAAAATAATAATGAAATCGAAGAAACAGACGTTAAGTTTTCAGTCTGTTTTGACAATTTTTGTCAGTGGCTCACCTACTTTTACGTCATTTTAAGACATTTCTGTGAGGATTTTACCGAAAAACATTGATCAAAGCATTAAACAAAGAAATTCGCAGTTTCTAAGGACACTCACGCTTTGGAAGTTAACCAACTATGGCGGCCATTTTGCTGTTTCCCTCTGACACCAGATGACCACCACTTTCTACAATCGCAAATAGCAATTTATGTCGACCTCTATTCAAGATAGATGGGTCTATTCCCCATCAAAAGCAAGACAAATTCGAACAGGATTGAAGCTTATACCAATAACTGTATTAATCATTATCATGCGCCCAAAATTGACAAGCGGTTGATTTCCCCGTGTTGTGATAGCGTCAGAGCCCACTCACTCTCCCTGGCACGTGCATGGAGACAGGCAATGCCCCGCGCTCACGCCAAACGCCACACTACGAGCAGAAAACAAGGGTGATAATCTCACGAGCACCTCCTTCTTTTTCCCCGCGGCTCCCTGAGAGTTATGGCCCTTGGCCGCCTCC